TTTTTTTTTGTTGTATTTGTTTGCCAGTTGATGGACATGAAGAAGCTATTTGTTTGCGGAAAATATGCAATATTTATTAAACAAAAAAACGGCAAATAAAAAAATTTGGAGCTTACGTTTCTTTCGCGGTTATGGCTCGATTGTTTCGAATTCTTTGATGTCGCACTTTTTATGTTCTGGGGAAAATATTCAACACTGGCTTGCACAGCCGCAGTTGGCGATTGGTGCCGGACGAACTCAGAGCACGCAGCTACTGAACGACTGAGATAGGGAACGTGATCTACATCGTCAAATGAGAAGTGGCGTAATGGGGCTTTCGCACGAGGCGATTTTTCAGGCAACTTTTGCGTTCAACTCCCGCCGGGTTGCACGAAAAAAAATTTGAATGACTAAAAATATCAAAATATAAAAAAATATTAAAATATTCGCCATAAAAAGGCGTTTGTATTGTTCAACTTTGCATTCTACTTTCAGCTAATCGCTTTCAATAAAGTTGGTCGCCAGCCAACATTCGCCTCGTGCGTACACCTTTTAAGTGTGCAATTACATCGCGCCATTGACTAAACCGAGCTGTCGTGTGACGATTGGGCCTATGGATGCGGTTTGGCAATGTTATATTGCGTCAAAATCACATTCGGAGACACCAGGATTGTGTCGTGGAGTACAATACCTAAATACCTTCGTTGGCTCATTGAACGCTTTACTTTACAGCGACTTGGCAGAATCAAGAGGTCACCACGAATATCGACAAATACATTTCGGCATTTAAGGGAATTTCGTCTCTTAACATTGAATTTCTGTAGTCCAACGATTCTCACCCATTTTGTCTTGTTGGCGCCAGCGAATGCAGAACAAACATTTCTTCAAATTTAAAAAGTAAAAATTTCACTACTAACAATTTAAAAATGTTCTTAAAACTTGCAAAGAAATTTGGAAAAGAAATATCACTGTTTTTGTTTTTAGGAGTAGGGTGGGAGTGTCATTGATAAAATTAGAGCGAGAGAAAGTTTTTCTTACAAAACCTTTCATTATTGAATCATGGATTTTTAATATAAACTTTGTCGTTGTCAAAATTTGGAACTTTCTCTCTTCTTGTGTTAATTTTGTCTATAGTTTGCTTTTTCTTTTCGTAAGCGTTATTCTTAATTTTTTCAAAATTAATGTCATTTCTGTTGATGAAATCTATTGGTTTTGTGTTGGTTGAACTGTGTATAGAATTATTATAAAAACCAATGGCTTTAATCATAATTTCCTCTACCTCCAAGGTGTTGTCCGTGTTTTTTAAAATGCGTATGTGTTCTAATATCGTGGAATGCAGTTTTTCAATGTCTGCATTGCCAGTATGACTGTTCGGAGTAGTGAAGTGGAGTATTATATCATTTTCGCGGCAGAATAATCTTATCAATGAATTGTCAAATTCATTGTCCATTATTAATTT